TTTTGAAAATTTCCGAAAGTTGCTACTATTCAGTAATAAGAGTCTCTAGTGAAAGCGTGATCGCAACTCTTTACAGTAAGAAGGTAATCAGTGCGGAACTAATACAGTATGCAGTCACACTTTATTGAGCTTCTTGGGACTTTAGACATGGTGATATAGCTTACACTAGTGATTTTGTCTAGTAATCGTGCTGACAAACATCTATGATTGCTTGACTTACTCATTTCATAAGTTTCGATGATCAATCTCTTCTGCTTGACTACGGTAAAGCATATTGACGCTGTCCTTTTAAATACTCACTAAGACCCATTTACCTCTTTTTAGCGAAATTGAATAAGGTGAATGAATGAAAACTACGTAAATTGCATTTCAGACATGAGATTTCTGCTAATTTTTTCCATATTCTTTGCCATTGTACTAGCCCAACAGGACACTATAACCTACTTGGGTAGAGATCGATACGGTGCCTATCATTTTGATATCGACCACGACAACGACTTTGGCCCGTTTAGCTATGGGCGATTCTTTGATCGTTACAACCCATATTATGGATACGGAGGTGGAAGAAAGTTTATAGGCCTTTGGTGAAGTCCGGTGTGATAAGATGCATATTTAGGTTTTGATAACTACGACCGTGGCTATGGTTATGGACGCGGATTCTATGGGCGCTTCAATCCATACAACAGATACAGATCCAGAGGTTTTTATAGACCTTACTTCCTTGGTGGCTCGTTTGCGCCGTGATGAGATGCATATGTAGATATTGATTGTCACACATCCGTAAAAATTCATACGTGCTGAAGACTTTTGTATTATGCGATTATCATTCCTGTTGTACGAGGTGCTCTGTGATGTATAAATTTACCCGGAATAAATTTTGGAATGAAGTTTTTCTGTGCATAAGTGGTCTTTTGTGTCACCAATTTAGTCCTTTACGCTCTGGGTAGATAAGACTGGATTGATAAGCAAATCAAGCACAAAACCAAAAGAAAAGACATCTTATCTAGATCATTTCGTAAACCCTTTCCAAATCTATCGAGCGCTAATAACTTTGCCTTATTAAGAAACATTCTGAAACCGTTTGCTATATGATCCCTCAGCTAGCTGCCCTTATATAGCGCACCT